AGGTCTTCAGTCTTCATTATACTGTTCCAGGATCTGAGTGGTTTTTGCTTATATGATCATGTGATCATCTGTTGCCTTTGTATATATTCAGTAGTGCTATTCGAGGAGTTAGGTGTTATTGTAGCGTGCTTCATTTGAATGTCTGCTTGGCATGATTGTGTAGGAAAGTAGTCAATAAAGACCTGTCACTACTAAGTAGGTGAGGAATTCGTTGCTCGTCTCGAGAGGGATTATTATACTATGTTCCTTGGTTTCGCCAAAATATTGAACTCATTACTGCATGCGTTTCTGGTAATGATTGTTGGATAAGTGGGTTTCGGAGGTCCAGTTTTATCGTTTCCCATAACATCTTCAATAACCCTGGTTGGTACTGCAATAGGTGACGACGCAATATGAAAGGAGGACGACAGTCCGTCAAGACTTGATTACCTACTGCGAATGACTAGCTTCTAGTTGAGAACGTCCATGTCAAAACACTCAGCGAATATCGATCACACCACGATAATATTAAATGTAATCACAAGCCAGATGCTTCACACGCCCAAGAATCCTCTATGCCTTCACTAGAACGAGACGAACCAAGCGACTGTTTAGGAGTATCCCCATCACGCTCCGTGACCAACTGCGTAATGGGACTTAACTAGAATGTATAACCTAGTGAGTAACACACGCAACCGAAAAAGAGTTCTTCCTAAAACCCGTCATTCCAACGCATGAAGTAATCCTCGACAAGTTATACACCAAAGAACAAATACGCAACAACGGGTTTGTCCTATCTGAAACACTCTTTCAACATACGTGTCCACACCCCACTTCTTAGTTAGTTCTAATAGGAAAATCAACAACCATGTAAGTACTCATGGTCTGCCATCCTTTGCATGAAATAGTGACCAGATCGTACACTAACGGATTAATTCGTTTTCACTTTCATTTGCATTACCTTTCCATACCTCGTGATCCACCCGTGATTGTCTGTTAGCATTAGACTTCGAAGATACGCCTCGAAAAATGTATGAATTAGCGAGATAAAAACGGGAAATTTATAAGGGATTTAGAATCTATGGATTTGTGGAAAGACAAAGAATGGATGCACCTGCTCCATTTTAAGCGATTTTGACCCATGTCATTCAATTCTAACCATTATTTGCGATAATCATATGGACCTTAATCAGGTAGTCTGTACCTATTAAAATGGTTTCCAATTGTCATTGACTTCAGTTAATTAGTTTGCAATTCGATGTAAACATCACACATTTAAGCTCATGGCTATTCCGAATAAAAATGTTTACATCACCCTACTACACAAACCGGAATTAAATTTCAAAATAAGGGCTCAGAACAGTTCTCAGTAGCATATACAAATATCATAATTAAACTTATCATTGTTGAAACGGAAATGTCCGCAAATAGCTGCTATTTCCTCACTAAAAATTCGTTGGTTGATGTTGACTGATAATTTTTTACTCATGACAAGCAATCATTTATTTGAAACATGGAACGCTGATTGGTGGTGACTTTAAAACTCACCTGGTACATATCTATGTAAAAAATCCTCGTTTTATTTATGAACCAGATGTTTTAGGAAGTTTATGTGGTAAGACTACCGAGTGACGTTTTATTTAATGCTAATAAATTATATTACCATCATGCCCCCAAATGCCCTGGTACGGCCGAGAGTGGGGAGAGTCCGCTCTCCCTCTCGAAATACTCTCACACGGCCACGCGTATACAGCCTCTGCTAGGGAAGTCCTACTCATTGCCTTCACGTGGCGTGGGTGTTCTTTACGAAAATAAGAGGACGAAAAGCGAATGTCCGGCGCTTTAACCGGATTCCAAACCAATGGTGCACATGGGCTCCAGTATCCTGCAAGAACAAATTAGCGTATGAACCAATCGTTGGTCACCGGCTGCCATGGGAATGCATCTCCTCACGATGCTCCACTGCCTTGTGGATCACACCTTTAGGTCAAAGGCTCGGGGTGTTGCCCTCTAAGAAAACCACCTGCTTCGTTTTGGGCACCAGGGCAGCATCACAGCCCACACACAAATAAAATGAAAGTGATGATATTTACTGAAAATTCTATTCTCACTTCGATTCACAGTCAAACAATTCACATTATTAATATTTGCTACGTCATTTACTCACTTTTATTCCCACCTTATGTATCCTTATTTTTCGACTTATACAGCAGCTCGCCTGTGGTGGAAACTCAGTTCTATCTAAACGTTCTAGAGTCACTGCCTGGTTGAAAATTGTATGTTACCACCAAATATGAGTACTCAAGCAGTTTTTCTGAAAATACGTGCACCATTCAAATTGGCTGCCTTCAACGTTCGCACGCTTATGCAGGTCGGACAACAGATAGGGCTGGCTATGTCTTAATATCGACGTTTGTTGTCTATCCAAGATCCGTATTCAAGACAATGGTGAAGTACTAAAAGTTCGATCTCCATCTGTCGCTTCGAAAAGCTTGTTTTGCGTGCGTTTATCCGAAAACCCTGTGGCATCTTCGTCTGACCTTGCTGGCATTGGTGTCACACTAATCGCTAGAGCTGAGGCAACACTAACCGATTGGATCCCAATTAACAGTCGGTTTTGTGCTGTTAGATTAGAAAGTCCCATCGAAGTGAGAAGAAATTGGCGTGAGAAACTATGTCTTTTCGTCATCTCCGCCTATGCCCCGACAGATTGCAGCTCGGATGCAATCAAGGATGAGTTTTACCACCAGTTAACTGTTCTTCTCCAGAAAGTGCGTTCGACAGATATTGTAGTACTAGCCGGAGACTTGAATGCTCAGGTCGGGCATCTAGGCACAGAAGAGAGTCGTTTAGGAGGGCGATGGGGACTCGTTGGTTGCAGGACAAATAACGTGGACGTCTACTGCAACTGTGCACAGACCACAACCTGTTTCTGGCTAGCACTAACTTTCGGCACAGTCATCGCCGATGTCCCACCTGGCGTCATCCCTCTGCATCTCAAGCCTGGACTCAGATTGATCACATCGTGATCAGCTACCGCTGGCGTGGTTGTGTACAAGACTGCCGCTCCTTTTGGAGTACCTATCTAGACTCGGATCATGCCCTGGTCTGCGCCAATTTTACCTTACTTTTCAGTGGACAACGAAGTGACCGCCACCAACGGATTGATGTTAACAATCTGGTTGCAACTTCTGTTGCTAGCAAGTATCGAACCGAGCTAGCTGCTAGGCTAGCTACCATTCCACCGAAAAGTATAGATGAGCATTGGTTGCAATTGCATGACGCCATGAAAATGGCGGAACAGTCAGTTGTGGGTTCGCGGAACGTCCCGCTTATAAGCACTGGGTTTCTTCTGGTTCCTTACAACTCATTGAAGCCCGTCGGTCTACTTCGGCTGACCGTGAGTTTGACCACAAACGAAGGATGTTACGTAAGTAAATTGGGCAAAGCTTGCGTAAGGACCGAGAAGCCTGGTGGTCGGAGCGTGCTAATGAGTTGGAAGCAGCAGCTGCATCTGGTAACTACCGGGAGCTCTTCCAACTCATCCGAGCCACTGGCAGCAAGAAGTCTGGTGTGAGCGAAACCATCTGTGAGTATGACGGGATGCCAATCACATTCTAGAAGCAGCTCTGATGGCTGTAAGTAATGTGTGGTGTGGATCTGTTGCCTGGAGAAAGACTCTCTCGACCTTGAGTATGCGGAATGATATTGTCTTACTGTGCGATAATGTTCAAGCCATGCAATCCGCACTTAATCAGTTGGCCATCAGTGTCCGTAGGGATGGGATGTGCTTTGCACCTTCGAAGTGCAAAGTACTTCTACAAGACTGGCAGGATTCTAATCCTGTACTCACCCTGCATGGTGAGCAGATAGAAGTAGTCGAGAAGTTCGTGTATCTAGGTAGCTGCATAGGTGCTGGTGGGGGCGTGAGTGGTGAGATCAATGCACGAATAGTGAAAGTCAGAGCGGCTTCTGCCAATCTGGACCATCTTGGCGCCTTCGTGATGTTAGTCTGGCTGTAAAAGGTCGGATCTACGACGCGTCGGTGAGAGCAGTTTTGCTCTATGCTTGTGAAACCTGGCCTGTCCGAGTTGAGGACGGTAGAAGACTCTGTGTTCGATCATCGTTGTCTCCGAAGGATTGCTGACATCCAGTGGCAAGACCATGTCAGTAATGCAGAGGTTCGGCATCGTGTGTTCGGGTACAGAGATGATAATTCAATTGGTGTCACCATCTTGAAACACCGACTTCGGTGGCTTGGACATGTTCTCCGAATGTCGTCCCAGAGAATTCCACGTCGTGCATTATTTGCCGACTCTGGGACTGGTTGGAAAAAGCGGAGAAGTGGTCAGTGTATAACGTGGTGTCGTGGTATGAAGGAAAGCTGCAAAGGGCTCGCTTGTGTTGGTCCTTCGCGACTGCCTGGTTGGGGTGCTAGAGACGATGCAACACAGTGGCTAGAGACGTTATCAGATGTGACTCAGGATGGAAGCCAGTGGGGATCCTGCTGTAACCTTCTTTTACTTTCTTCATAAAAAGTGGTTGTGTTTTCCTTAACTGAAAGATTTCTTCTTGATGTACCTTCCCGTTTCCACCATTATTATTATAGTAGTAGTATTAGTAGTAGCATTATTAGTCATTACCTTACACTAATCTGGTCGTCATTGTTCTTTTTTTTCTTTTACGCTTCTTACCTTCTTTTTTCTCCTCTCATTCTCATTGTTTCGTGTAGCGCATGTATATTTGGCGACCTCTTGTACCAATATTTATTTGTTCAAATAAATATAAATTACATTTTGCGGTCGCTTTAACAATTAGAGGATCTAATCTTGCTTCTCAGTCTCTTTAAGGTTTCATACCACCGTAAAATTTAACTTTTTTCCGTCTTGTGTTCTTTTTTCTTAGATTGTTCTATGTTTATAGTTTTCTTTCGGCTGTGTTTTGTAAACTGTGTATATCCATCCAGAAAACACTAAGTGATTGAATACTTACAAAATTTGAATAAATTAAAATTTCTGATCATGCCAATTCGTAAAGAAACTACACGTCATCATCTTAGAGATATAATACACAAGGAAAGGATTCAAAAAGCAAAAGAACGTAGAATCAAACGGAAACAACGAAAAGAAAGTGGTGCACCGGCAGGAATTCCTCAAACTCTTGAATCACTTAGAACAGTTGATGAAACAATCGTTCCTAAAGATGATGAAGAAGTTGTCATTGAACATGAAACAGTATGTTGTATAAAATAAATTCTTAAATTTCTCTAATCTAGGATGAGTTTTCATCTATTTTTAGTGGAGAAATTACTCCTAAAATTTTGTTGACTCATTCTGATCGTGTTTGTCCTAGGACAATCGGATTTTGTAAAGAACTAAGTATGGTAAGTATTGCTTTACATTGTGACATTTTTTCACTTAAGTTTCAAACTTTATTAGTTTCCAACATTTTAAGAGGGGAAGAGTAAATAAAACTACTTTTGTTCTTGCATTTTTGTCGATCATCATGAAGACGTATGTGCATTCATGAGTAACCCAAATTTAGTGATTTATATTTCTGAAGTTCAGTTTAAAACTGTGTAAATTTATTGATTTTAACAACTTATAATTATTTATTTATTATTTATCTTAACACATAGATATTGGTACAAGAAGGCACCAAATACATATACGCCACACAAATCTCATTTGATATGTGTGAGGGCTGGGATACTACCCGGGTGCCCAAACCGAAGCAGGTGGTTTTCTTAAGGGGCCGCACCTCGAACCTTCGGCCCAAAGGTCTGATCCACAAGGCAGTGGAGCATCGTGAGAAGATGCAGTCCCATGGCAGCCGGTGACCAACGATTAGTTCATACGCCATTTGTCTACTCAGGATACTAGAGCCCATGTGCACCATTGGTTTGGAATCAGGGTTTTCCAACCCCCCTAGGTGGACCCTCCATGTCCACCAACCCGTTAAAGTGCCGGACGTTCGCTTTCCATCCTCTCGATTTCGTAAACAACACCCCCGCCACGAGAAGACAGTGAGTAGGACTTACCTGGCAGAGGCTATATACGCGTGGCTATGTGAGAGCATTTTGGGAGGGAGAGCGAACTCTCCTCACTCTCGGCCGTACCACGGCATTTGGGGGCAATTAATTTACTAAATAAACTACCAATAAACAATTATCTACGTAAGATATTGCATGTCTGTTGGCCGGATATCAGCAACAGCCCTTTGTGGGAGAGAACAAACCAGTTTCTAGCTGTAGAGAAAATTAGAAACAAACGCTGTAAGCGGATAGGACATACATTACGGAAACCATCAAACTACATCACAAGGCATGCGCTAACTTGGACTCCTGAAGGGGAACGAAAAAGAGGAAGGCTAAAGAACACACTGTGCAGTGAGTTGAAAGCAGACATGAAAAGAATAAATAGCAGCTGGAAACAATTGGGAATGATTGTCCAGGACAGAGTTGGATGTAGAATGCTGGTGAGCGGCCTTTCCTCCACTTGAGGTAATAGGCATAAGTAAGATTACCGATACACGTTGATTGTAAGCACTAATAGTTACAAAATTTAGTTAAAGGCACATTGTCTCCGAGCCACCTGATATATAGATAGTTTTTTTTCAGAAAATCTATCATTTTATTTTAACTAACATTGTTTCTAATTTCGTATATAAATTATCAGGTCATTCCAAATGTTCATCTTGTTGCACGTTGGCATTTACCTCTTAAAAAAATTATCCCTATGGCTATTGAACGTCAATTCACTTGTTTAATAATTGTTAATGAAGATCAGAAAAAAAATTAATACTCTAATAGTTAGCCACTTACCAAACGGGCCAACAGCTACATTTCGCCTAACTAATGTGTTACTTCGTCGTGAAATGCGTTCAGCTAAAAAAGCCAAATATATTGAATCGAATATAATACCACATTTGATTACTACACGTTTTATGACACGTCTTGGTCTACGTACTGAACGTATTTTAAGTTCATTATTTCCTAATGAAAGTCGTTTACCGCCACAACCACATAGTAGAACAATCGTTTTTCATAATCAAAGAGATTATATCTTTTTTCGACATTATCGTTATATACATCGTGATACAACTGATGTTCATAACGATGATGATAATGAAAATGAAGGTAAACATAATACAGAACATATCGCAATGAATGAAGTTGGACCAAAATTCACATTGAAATTACGTTCAATTCAACTAGGTACTTTCGATAGTCAATATGGTAATTATGAATGGGTTCGTAAACGAACAGAAATTGGTAGAAGTCGGCGAACATTTATCTTATAGTTGATAAATAGTATTTCTCTATTGTAAATATAATTATTTATTAATTCAATAACATGTTTGCTTATTTATTCCATAAAAATAACCTATTTAGTCTGCAAATAGATTATATGAGAAGTTAAAAATATGTATTAATTAGTGTTCGGTTTTAAATATAACTTTAGTAAACTATCCATTTCTAAATCCCAACTACCACCCCTTATCAACTAGTAATAATAATGACCTATAATTCAAACCAGATATGAAAAATTATTTAACAAATGCGCTATAGACTCAACTGCCTGGTTACAAATGCTTCGTTTTTTTATTGAAATCATGATCCGATTTAAGTTAGACCACCATTGAAAACGTAAAAACACTGGATGACCGTTTACGTCTCGTCTTTACTTTAACAATATTACTAACACTTTACAAATAAGTTGTAATAAAACGTGCCTGGTGTATTTATTAAACCTCAAAGACACTATTCAATGCCGATTTTAGCAGTATTGATTTTAATCTACCAGATTAGAGTAGAAGTTCTGATATATGTACGCAGAGCTCCAAGCATGTAATGAACGAGAACACAGGCTGGGGACAAACAATAATATTTCAATACAAAATTACAGAATATCTCGATAAAATATAATAACGATACATACATATCCCATCAATTGTCTCGAACTTCATTGCCACAACAGTTACTCTATTCCCGTTCTCTTCGATCCTCTCAACCTTCTGATGCTAGGTATTCTACTTCTGAGGTGTGTTATATATTACTTATGTCGACGTAAGAAGCATATCGAAATATTGTATTTTATGATAACGGATCCATTTGATATGTCTTAGTTTATTATTCAGAAATAAGATCAAGGTATCTTATCACGTGAAAAGTGACTTTTAGAGTAAGTCGTCATCATTTTAGTAACTGCAATAGCAACAATACCTAGTGAGTTCTACTGAAGAGCGAAACTACTAGCTGGACGAAATAGCAATCGATCCCAGTCCGTTGATGAAAAATTTAGTTGTCCGTTTCCTAATATCAGACATACAGACGTTTCCGCTTCACTCCATTCAAGTAAATAGATGTCACACTCCAAGACTCGATATCGAACTTCGACAAAATCTTAAGGATATCACAACGTTCAAACCGTAGTTTGGTGACTCATCCATTTTTCTTTTGATTTTAACGTAACCATGATTTTTAGTTAAAACTACCTTGAGTGAATGCTTCAGACATCTAACATTGCCTGGACTCTATATATTGCTAACAGTAAATATGTCTTACAATATGAAGAACGTGTGGAGCTCCAACATGTGGTTTGAAGCTTGGTAGTAGTAATCTGGAGTTGTTAATCCTGTAGTGCATATACAGCTGTTTAGGTTCGATGGCAACATCCTGAAGGACATAAATTGATAGTAAACATAATGGATGGATATGCTGACACGTTATCACTATCTACAATTTAGATAATGCTTTTGGAGAATCTATACAAATCTATTATTCTTACTAATTTAGGTACGTGACCAATCCTTTTCTTTATCCTGCACACATTCTTGAATGCAAATCACAACAGACGCACAAATACTTCAACTATACTATAAAGCTAAACTTAATGAGTACACTCAAACATCACTATCGGAAAAGTACATTATACTGAAGATCATGAACAACTTAACAGGAAAGTGTTTAACTGCAAGACAATTGACGATAAATTTACAAATGTCAAATAATTTCGACGTGATTAATGAACCCTTATATGTTGGATTATCCGTTAGAGTAAGGGAAAGAAAACGTCAGGATTACGTTTTACGGGTTGAGTTAGTGTCATGATTTATATTTGTCACGACCTGATATCAACTATTATTCAATAATACTTTTCCACCGTTTACTACACACACTTATGAGAGTTAGGGTTGAGATTTTAGTTAGCGTGGAAAGAAACCGTTTAGCAACACAAATACTCTTGAATCAGATCAAGCACTCTGAAATCATCTACTAATCAGGAACATGTTTCCTATAATTCAGTATAAACACAATGTCATACTCATAGTTTGGTTACATTAATTAGCTCAACGCTATCAGTATAATACTCTTTTATTATACTGTCCATTCTATAAAACTGACCGGACTAGATAACTTAAGAATAAGTAAATGTAATTATTGTTTGTATTTTCGCTGTATAAATATTAAATACTCGGCGTCTATTTTTTGTCAAAATATTCGTTCTACTAATGATAAATATTCGTATAAATACTTGGAACATTGTATTCTTATATTGTCGTTTATACGTTTTTGTTTTGGTTCAAAAACTATTGTTGTAGATATTACATTCTTTAAATTATTGTTCATTAATTAAAGACCAATTAATCAGTTTATTCTTTAACTAATGGTGTTGGTATGGATAAAATCTAATGTTTTATTCATACTGTTGTTTCATTAGGAACCTGTCGTATATATATATATATATATATATATATATATATATATATATATATATATATATATCTGCGTACGAACTTTCTTTTCTGAATAGACACTAAGTTGGAACGAGTTAGATGACCAACAAGTTTTATTATTTGAACACATGAATATTGTTACAAGAGAGCGCCAATATATATGCGCCACACAAAACAATGAGAATTTGAAGAAAAAGAAAAAAAAGGGACAATAACGAAGAGGTTGGTTTAAGGTAGTGTAGTAATAGTAATAATGAGGAAACGTAAAGGTACAATCGGAAAAGATCTTTCAGTTAAGGAAGTTACAAACACTTTTTATGAGGAAAGTAAAAGAAGGTTACAGCAGAATCGCCACTGGCTTCTATTCTGAGCCATATCTGACAACGTCTCTAGCCACTGTGTCGCACCATCTTTCAGATCCCAACCAAGGAGTCGTGAAGGACTAACACAGGTCAACCCTATGCAGCTTTCTTTCATAGCACGACACCATGTCATACACTGACCACCTCTCCGCTTTTTCCAACCAGTCCCAGAGTCGGCAAATAATGCACGACGTGGAATTCTCTGGGACGACATTCGGAGAACATGTCCAAGCCACCGAAGTCGGTGTTTCAAGATGGTGACACCAATTGCATTATCGTCTCTGCACTCGAACACACGATGCCGAAACTCTGCATTACTAAAATGGTATTGCCACTGGATGTTAGTAATCCTTCGGAGACAACGATGATCGAACACAGAGAGTTGTCTAACATCCTGAACTCGGGGAGGTCAGACTTCACAAGCATAGAGCAGAACTTCTCTCACCGACGCATTGTAGATCCGACCTTTTACAACCAGACTGACATCATGAAGGCGCTAAAGATGGTCCAGATTGGCAGAAGCCGCTCTGGCTTTCACTATTCGTGCATTGATCTCACCACTCACGCCCCCACCAGCACCTATGCAGCTACCTAGATACACGAACTTCTCGACTACTTCTATCTGCTCACCATGCAGGGTGAGTACAGGATTACAATCCTGCCAGTCTTGTAGAAGTACTTTGCACTTCGAAGGTGCAAAGCACATACCATACCTACGGACACTGATTGCCAACTGATTAAATGCGGATTGCATGGCTTGAACATTATCGCACAGTAAGACAATATCATTCGCATACTCAAGGTCGAGGAGTCTTTCTCCAGGCAACAGATCCACACCACCATTACTTACGTCCATCAGAGCTGTTTCCAGAATGTCATCGATGGCCAGGTTGAAGAGGAATGGTGAAATTGGGCGACCCTGTCTAACCCCAATGCTCGAGTGGAACAATGGAGAGAGGTGGTTGTATGCCCTCACTCTGCCTGAGGTGTTTTTATATAGGGCTTTTAGGATGTTAATAAACGTCTCAGGCACACCCTTCCTCAATAGACAATCTCAGAGAACAGTCCTGTCCAACGAATCGAAGGCAGCCCTGATGTCAAGAAACACTGCGATTGTTGGTCTTTGATAAGTATGACGGTGTTCTAACATTTGGCGGAGGGTGAAGATATGATCAATACATCCTCGACCAGAACGAAACCCAGCCTGCTCCTCGCGAGTCAATCTTTCTCGGGTTTTGAACAACCTACGAAGTATGACGGAAGCCAATAGCTTGGACGCAATCGGAAGTAGACTTATCCCTCGATAGTTGTTACAGGAACGACGTGAACCCTTTTTAAAGATAGGGACGACTATCGACTCATTCCAGACGTTGGTACACTCTCTAGTTCCCAAACCTTTGTAAACAACGTCGCAATTCCTTAGTCAGAAAGTCACCACCATCTTTAAAAAGAGCCGGAGGTAAGTCATCTGGGCCAGGTGATTTGTAGCGCTTCAAGAGTTGGAGTTCCTTGCGGACTTCCTCCTCGTTTGGTGGATCAGTCGTCACCGGCCATGGAGGGCAGGACAGTCTGACCGATGTTGCCGGAGCAGCAGGCCAGTTGAACTGCCCTTCGAAAAATTCTGCCCATCGTCCAAGACGTCGATGGATGTTAGTGATTGGCATCCCATCATCCTCGCAGATTGTTTCACTCACACCAGACTTCTTGCTGCCAGTGGCTCGGATGAGTTGGAAGAGCTCTCGGTAATTACCAGATGCAGCTGCTGCTTCCAACTCATTAGCACGCTCCGACCACCAGGCTTCTCGGTCCTTACGCAAGCTTTGCCCAATTTACTTACGTAACATCCTTCGTTTGTGGTCAAACTCACGGTCAGCCGGAGTAGACCGACGGGCTTCAATGAGTTGTAAGGAACCAGAAGAAACCCAGTGCTTATAAGCGGGATGTTTCGCAAACCCACAACTGACTGTACTCGCCATTTTCATGGCGTCATGCAATTGCAACCAATGCTCATCTATACTTTTCGGTGGAATGGTAGCTAGCCTAGCAGCTAGCTCGGTTCGATACTTGCTAGCAACAGAAGTTGCAACCAGATTGTTAACATCAATCCGTTGGTGGCAGTCACTTCGTTGTCCACTGAAAAGTAAGGTAAAATTGGCACAGACCAGGGCATAGTCACAGTCCAGATAGGTACTCCAAAAGGAGCGGCAGTCTTGTACACAACCACGCCAGCGGTAGCTGATCGCGATGTGATCAATCTGAGTCCAGGTGGCACATTGGCGATGACTGTGCCGAAAGTTAGTGCTAGCCAGAAACAGGTTGTGGTCTGTGCACAGTTGCAGTAGACGGTCCACGTTATTTGTCCTGCAACCAACGAGTCCCCATCGCCCACCTAAACGACTCTCTTCTGTGCCTAGATGCCCGACCTGAGCATTCAAGTCTCCGGCTAGTACTACAATATCTGTCGAACGCACTTTCTGGAGAAGAACAGTTAACTGGTGGTAAAACTCATCCTTGATTGCAACGAGCTGCAATCTGTCGGGGCATAGGGGGAGATGACGAAAAGACATAGTTTCTCACGCCAATTTCTTCTCACTTCGATGGAACTTTCTAATCTAACAGCACATAACCGACTGTTAATTGGGATCCAATCGGTTAGTGTTGCTTCAGCTCTAGCGATTAGTGCGACACCAACACCAGCAAGACCAGACGGAGATGCCAAAGGGTCCCCGGATAAACACACGCAAAACAAGCTTTTCGAAGCGTCAGATGAAGAGCGAATTTTTAGTACTTCACCATAGTCTTGAATACGGATCTTGGATAGACAACAAACGTCGATATTAAGACATAGCCAGCCCTATCTGTTGTCCGACCTGCATAAGCGTGCGAACGTTGAAGGCAGCCAGTTTGAATGGCGCACGTGGTTTCAGAAAAACTGCTTGAGTACTCATATTCGGTGGTAACATACAATTTTCAACCGGACAGTGACTCGAGAACGTTTAGATACAGTCGAATTTCCACCAAAGACGAGCCGCTGTATAAGTATAAAAGAGGGTGAATAATGTGGATGATAATAATAATAATAATAGTAATAATAATAATGACAATAATAGTAGCAATAATAATAATAATAATATTAATAATGACAATAATAGTAATGATAATAATTTGAATCAATTGATGGTTTTTGGAAGCGAGAAAAGTAGTTTCCATAGACATAGAGAGTTCATCATTTGTGTGTGGGCTGTGATATTGCCCGGGTGCCCAAACCGAAGCAGGTGGTTATCTTAGGGGGCCACTCCCCGAGCCTTTGACCTAAAGGTCTAACCCACAAGGCAGTGGAGCATCGTGAGGAGATGCATTCTCATGGCAGCCAGTTACCAACGATTGGTTCATACGCTATTTGTTCCCGCAGGATACTAGAGCCCATGTGCACCATTGGTTTGGGATCCGGTTGAAGCGCCGGACATTCGCTTTTCGTTCTCTCATTTTCGTAAACAACACCCTCGCTGTGAGAGGGCAATGAGTAGTTTTAATCTATTTTATTGATCTTTGTGTTATTGGTAATGTAAAAAGTTACTGATTTTACAGACAATATATAAAGAATGTTGTTGGAAGATATACCAATTGCTTAAAAATTAAATTATGATTAAATAGTCGCTCAATTTCGTGGATTGGTTGAAGTCAGTCATTAACACGGCTCAATGGTCTAGGGATTAAGCGCTCCCGCGCGAGACTGGTAGGTCCCGCGTTCGAATCTCGCGGAGCGGGATCGTGGATGTACAGTGCTGGGGAGTCTCACAATAGAACGAAACGGCCGTCCAGGTTTTTTGTGGTGATCTAGCCTCAATTGACTCATGATCTCAACCATTGAAATTACTATAATATCCACAAAAACCCTTCTGTTATGACTAAACAACAAAAGAAAACCAACTCATAATAAAAAATAGATCTAATCATTGATCAAGATTATACGTATATAATTTTTATTATACAAAATAATAAAAAAAAACATTTCAGTAATCTTATCATATATAAAAAACGAAAATATCATAGTTACTAAAAGGGATCGTTACAGTCAATAAAATTTGTATGTAAAAAGAAAAAAATTAGGGAAAAATAACAATAACCAAATAGGACAATACTGACATAGATATTTTAATGAACAAAATTAAATTTCACCTTCAGTAAATATCGTAAACGTATTTGATTTACACAATAGACAATATATTCATTAAATTGTAAAATACATTTATTTGCTTCAATTTCAGGTGCTTGAATTAATTTACCACATGGTACTATAACACCATCATTCCTAAATGAATAGAAGAAAAATTTATGAAAATAAAATTATACAGAATTATTTAAGCTAACATGGGTAGTGGCTAGCAATAGAATAGGACGAAACGTGCGTCCTGAATTCCACTGCTAGCCACTATCCATCTTTGCTTAAAAAGCTTGTGACTTAAGACTATATAGAGGCAATCCGCACAGGAAGCACAGCACAATATACCAACATGAGACTGATCAATTGCAATCTTAAATAACAAATAAAACAACACCAAGTGAATTTATACATAATCTTCTTTAAAAAATATTGAAGACTACCATATGTAAACTTTCATAACTTTTTTCTCTGCTAATTATTATAGAATAAAATCGTCAATCTGAATACTGACTTATATGATTTTGTTCTTGTGCTAAATCAATGAATTACACGTCCAATCAGAATTAGCGGTCTTATGTTAACTTTAAATCTTTATTGGTCCTTTTCGCTTAACCTTGCCCATTGAGTGTAGAATGCAATCTCAGCCTCCATTGTATAAATAATATATGTCAGACTGTGAATGTGAGAAGGGATACTATAACTGAAGATCTAAACAGGAGATAAAGAGAGGAAGTTTCTAGGTCACTGAGATTAACTGTAAGCCATATCACACGGTGTAATTAATCGCTGATTACGGTTATCTCTAAGAGTTCAACCATGTGCACTACAACCAACAAGATGGCTTAGAACAGAAATCAATAATTTCACATAGCGACGATAAACCTTAGTTCGGTCGCTGAAACACCATCCAACATTATACATTGATTGGGCGTGCGTAACACATATTCTATTCACTTCAGGCACATCAACTGATACGCTATTTTGGCCTAACTTCTTTTATTCGACGTTAATATTTAGGTCGCGCATATTCATCTTACCTCTGTGGATAAAGCGGTAATCGATACACCTTAAGCAATATCTCTTTGACTGCGACTGACAGACATTTGATAAATGGTCTGTTAAAACCAACTGTAATATACTAACGTGGTATTGGGGTAATAGCTGATAAGCAATCACAAACAAGCAATAAACTGATATCTAATGAGTAGGCAATAGTCAACGTTATCAAACAAACTACTAACTAAGATAGCTCTTGGTTTGCAAGAATTATCTAGTTGATGTTAGTTTGTGATAAAAATTTGTCTCCAAGTTTACACCTAAAATGTCCACAGAACACATCTGTACTTAATTAAACAAATATTTACTGAATCAAAGTTATTCATTTTCGATATGCAGTTGTACTGTTAAAGGTGACCTTACTTAACATACCTCAACCTATTTTAAAAAAAGAATATGGTTAGTTTGTGAGAAGTACGTCAATAAATTCATCCGGTCGATCATAAACAATGTACAACCTTGCACAAACTCATACAAGGTTTTTAACAGAAGACGGTAAGTTATTAAATGTTGATTGTAGTAAGCTCAATTTTATGATGTTCTTAACTTGTCTTCATATAGTGAATAACTAATAAAATAGTGAACAAGTTCAATTTACTTAAAGTAAGTGGTTATTATTAATCAAGTCAAAAACGTATAGAAATCTGTGTATTCAAAACATAATGTTTGATCTGCTCTCAATGTTGGATAAGTCATAATCTAGCATTGGTGTTTTTCGTCTCTTCTTTGTGTCATTTTAAATAAGTTTTAAGACGGAATAATAATCATATCATTATTAGAAGGAGTTTGAAAGCGGAAGGTGCTGGGTTCGAGTCTAGGTATGAACCTGAACACTGAGATGCAGGTACATCTAGCTAAAGAGTCCCAAGTGGGACGAAACAAGCGTTTTGGATTCTGCTGATAGCCACACTCCGTCTATTCCATACAGTTGAATTAGTTATTTTGCAGTAATAATACGGTTTAAATTGCTATATTTCACAGCAGCGCAACAAACGAAAATGAAATGAAGTCAAACTCAGTTAAACGCTGTCAGATTACCAAGTCTGATGCTTCATTAGCTGAGGAGTAACAGCCTTCGACTGACAACGGGACAAAACCTCAATCTTAGTTTCAAATCATTACGTAAATGAAGACAGAACGGGAACCTAGCCGCATAGCCAGAACTGGAATGAAATCAAATACTTAACTGATTAGAATATAATGGTTGTTAACTTGACCGGTGCCATTAATCCATAATCATAGACCATTAATTTGAGCCATGTAGGTAGGTGCGGACTACCTGGTTAAGATCTGAGCGACTGTCATAATCAACAGTTGGTTAGCTCTTTTTTTAAACATAACCTGGAGGACATGTTTCAAACTAATCTTTCTTCAATAATCTTTGTGATTATTTGATTATTTGTCTTTCCATTTTTAAATTGTTGGTTTTTTTAAGCGTCCCAAGGGTATTGGATGTAAATATATAAATAGAGTCGACTACTTGCAATGTTTGAATTTTTTATGAAATAGTAGGATATACAGGAAGTCCCATCTTTTCTATCAAGTGTAAGGGTGTAGCTTATTAAAGTTGGAGTGTTGTTGTGTGCCTGTTACCGTCCTGCAAAGTCCGTCATAGATATTATTCATACTAGAATACGCTCAAATGTTCAATATTAAGTAATTACTGTAGGCCTGTACCGAACCTTAATCTCAAGATACAACAGTGATGCTGCTCAGAATCTCTTGTAATATTCCAGGCTCATCCATTTTTATTTTTCCTTATATCTTGAGTTGCAAAAATATTTTGGACGTTTTTATTCTATGAATTTATATTTTCCCAAACCATATGCTCTATGTCTAGCGTTCAATACTACTAATGATACTGTCACTATTTCAACTACTCCAGGTATAAGTTTTCACAATTTCATTTCTCTGAGTTGAAATGATGTGACAATAATTTGAAACAATGCGCAATATTTGCCATATTTTCATATTGTACTGTACTGGTTAAAAGTGTACAGATCCAGCAAAACAACCAGAATTGAGCAGAGTAGATTTTCTCTGCTTAAACAATAGTTTAAATTGTATAATAAACTATGCAACAAAAGGAAAAATCAATTAATTAGTTTACCAATATTAGTCACATGATGGACTAGTACTAAGTTGAAAATACTCACCATATGATAAATGATAGAGTAGAAAAGATATTTTTAATAGTTGAATTCATTAGTCGATCTAAGCTAGACCACCATTGAAAACCCGGAAGCATTGAACGGCCGTTTTCGTCATCATATGGGACTCTTCAGAAGGACGAAACGACCGTCCAGTGCTTCTAGGTTTCCAATGGTGGTCTAGCTTAGATCGACTCATGAATTTAACTACCAATATTACTACAATCTCCACAAACCCCCATTTTGATAGTATATATCTATTTATATAAGATGATATAAAAATGAAAAAATACATATTCGAAGCAGAAAACAACACAAATAAACATCTTACAAAGTTTTCCATGTTGCAGAATCTGTTCGCCATTTACCAACACCTTTTACACTATGATAATCAGCGAGATTTTCATGAGCATTAGAACATGATTGATATAATTCTCTTTGTTTACCTAATGAGACCTTAGATGATTTCAATAAAAAAGAACAAATGATAAAGATTGCTGATCATTTAAATGGTGAAATAAAATGATATGGATTTTTGAATAAGGATAGGAAACATTCATAGTAATTAGTCATTTTAAACGAGTAAAATAATAAGGCTTATAAGATTTAATATAGTCTGAACAAAAATACAACTATGTATTAGTACAACTTATCTATCAAGATGTTTTGATTTCTCTAAGTACGACCCAGCTGCTCTTATTGTTTAGTATTTCTTGGACACTACTTCACTCCACAAGTCCCCAAATCAGAACATGGTTGGACTGGAATGTAATTATATTCCCAATAACAAGGGTAGATGAAAATAAAAATCACAATAAGAAAGACGTTAGTAATATTTATAATTTTTACATAAGATTTCATAGTCTTCTCTAAGTCTCCGCTAGCGCTGATGAGTTAAAAATAGTCATTCAACGTGCCCCAAAACAATACTATACGGAACATGCTTCAATCGCATCTAAATCCCGCTAACACAAGTATACATACAGTACAAGATTATGTGAGTGATATCGAGGTTAATTTTACGCTACTCGATAAAGATGGTCTATCAGTTGATGAGATTGTGAATTCTCATCGTTTGGTCACAATTCAATAAGGTACTCTGCAACCAACAACATAACAATCACTAACTTCATGGGATGCTGTCGATTTTCTGTTTCGTTGCGTCTAGCTTTTTTCCAACTACTTCTGTTCCAGTCAAGATTATGAGTTTGGGTAGGTAGTGACTGGCTAAATGCAGGATACATTTCAGCTACCCCCACTTAATGAAAGTTCAATACTATCAAAGAATAATCCGTCTTAGTAATCTAAACAGAAATAGCTCACTTTCTTGTTCCACTATACGCGGGTAATATTTGGAAGATTTCTATGATCGAATACTAACAACCTAATGTTTTTAACTTTAGAAAATCATGTTTGACAGCCATGAATCAAAAGAGAACAAGCTGTTGCACAGTACACATATCCCTTTATTGACAGTTGTGCATCGCGCCAGTCAGTCAGTCAGTAACAACGTAGAACTTCGTACGTACGTACATCAGTTCGAGTTGCCACACCACATTAGCACAGAGATGCGGTTGTCGATTCAAATCCCGTAGTGGTAGAGACAGTATAAGTATAAGCAGTAATCGGGAAGATTAGGGTTTGGAGATGTTATTTAAAGAGTATAATCCAGTGAAAGAAATTTGGAAAGAGGAAAAAAGGGACATGAAGAATTCAGAAGATTAGAATTTGGGAGAACACAGAGAGTGGATGCACCTGCGCCATTGCAAACGATTTTGAGCCATGTCATTCAGGGTCTCTAACCATCGGTTGCTGTCATCTCGCGGTCCCCAACCAGGTAGTCTACACCTACCAACATGACTCAGTTCACTTGTCAGTGACTTCATGGACTTGTGCCATGTTTTGGTTTGGCCGCCCCTAGCTTTCTTCCAACCTACTCCTATACCACTGAACATAGCACGTCGAGGCAGTCGGTGGTTGGGCATACGTAACACGTGTCCCAGCCATCTCAACTGATGAAGTTCCACTACTTCATCAATTGATTTGCCATCCTTACCTAGTACCCGTTTCCTAACAACTGTGTTACGTACTCGATGGTCCCATGATATACGAGCAATGTTTCGAAGACACCTATGATCAAATACTAGTAACCTACGGATATCCTCTACTCTTACCGGCCATGTTTCACTGCCATAAAGTAGGACGGAACGAACTGCTGCGCAGTAAACACGTCCTTTGGTTGATAGACGGATATCTCGCCTACGCCATAAATGACGGAAGTTGGTAAAAGCTAGTCGAGCCTTCTGTATCCGTGCTGAGATTTCGTCACACACTAAACCACAAGGGCTGATGAGACTTCCAAGATAAGTGAAGCGGTCGACACACTCAACTACTTCACTCCCTATCACTAGTTCGGGTGTCGATGTAACCCAATCCTGAAGCAACATTTAGCATTTCGAGGGAGAGAATCGCATCCCGAACATGCTTGCATTGTTGCTTAGAGTGGTCAGAAGACTCTGCATTTTGTCAGCGTCTTCACCAAATAAAACTATGTCATCAGCATATTCTAAGTCAACAAGTGAACCTCCTGGTAGAAGTTCAACCCCTGTAAATTTAGATGAGGAGAGTGTTATCTCTAAAAGTACGTCAATGACAAAGTTGAACAAGAATGGGGAGAGTGGACAGCCCTGACGAACACCACTTGAGGTGATCAATTCTGATGACAGTTCGCCATAAGCTCTCACTCTACCAGTTGTGTTCGAGTAGAGAGCCTTTATAAGGTTAATGTACTTCTTTGGTACTCCTTTCAGTGACAAACACTGCCATAGAACCTCACGATCAATAGAGTCGAATGCCGCCTTAAGGTCGAGAAATACTACCATTGTGGGGCGTCTGAACGTGTGTCTGTGTTCTAGAACCTGACGTTGTGTGAATATCTGATCTATACAACCACGTCCAGGTCGAAAACCAGCCTGGTTCTCTCTAGTCTGCTCTTCACGAGCTTTAGTTAGGCGTCGAAGTATTATTAAGGATAATATTTTAGACACTATATTAGTCAAACTGATTCCTCTGTGATTGTCACAAGAGGACTTTTGTCCTTTCTTAAAAACTGGCACAATCAGTGATTGAGACCAGTCAGATGGGATTACGTCCAGTTCCCAAATTCTACCTAAGACCTCGGTTAATCTCATTGCTAATACTGGACCACCATCCTTAAAAATCTCAGGAGTAAACCTGTCAGGGCCTGCTGCTCTCCCTCGCTTCAGATTTCCTATGGCTATTCAACTTCGTAAAGGGACGGAGGACTTACATTAACTTGCCATTCAGGTTGACTGGAGATCGTGGGAAACCGAAGTGTGGCTGAAGGCCATTTGAACTGATCCCTAAAGTGTTCTGCCCATCGATCCAATCTCCTGGATTGAGAATGAATAATATGTCCATCTTTCTCTGAGATTGTTTCGCTAACGGTCGGGTTCCTAATTCCGGTTTCCTTAACGAGTCTAAACAATTGTCTGCTATTACCTATTGCCGCTGCCTTTTCCATCTCTCTTGCTTTCGCTACCCACCACTGTTCGCGATCATTGCGTAGACTTCTTGTCAGCTTGCGCTTAAGCTGACTCCGCTCTTCATTATGTTCAGAGCCAGGTGGAATGTGTTTCCGAGCATTTATCAGTGAGATAGATGCTGCTGAGATCCAGTGTTGCTCCCTAACCTTCTGGTTTACCTTACTAACAGATATCACTGCTGTTTCCACAGCTTTTCGGATATCATTCCATGCTGCATCGGGGTGGGCATCACATACATGGCTGCCTAACTGTTTTCCTAGTTGTTCCTGAAATATACTCTTAGCTTGACTATCATTAAGTAGGGCCCTAAGAGGTTTCCTTGCAGGATCTTTCCTACGTCCAGTAAGACGCAAGCAAATACGCGCTCGCACTAGAGCATGATTTGAATCTAGGCATGTGCTCCAGAATGAGCGACAGTCTTCTATCGAGCCCCTCCATCGGTGGCTGATAGCGATGTAATCTATTTGGGTCCAACGTTGGGACGAATTAGGGGGTCTCCATGTTAAAAGATGTTTTTCCTTATGCTTAAAGTTGGTATTTGCAAGAAACAGGCGGTTATCTGAGCATAGCTGCAACAGACGGTCGCCATTATCTGTTCTTTGAGCCACGACACCATAGGATCCACCTAGGTGTCTTTCCTTATCGCTTAGTTTACCTACTTGAGCATTAAAGTCACCGGCCACTATTACTACATCCGAGCGCTTAGCTTTTCGGAGAAGGTCCGAAAGCTTTCTGTAAAACTCATCTTTTACATCATCTGAGCTGCAGTCAGTGGGAGAATAGGCAGAGACGACGAAGAGGCAACGACGAGTGTCCCTATCTTTCCGGATTCTTACTGTTCCGTTCAGTCGGACAGCGCACAAACGACTGTTTATTGGGATACACTCTAAGAGAGCTAGTTCTGCCCTAGGACTCAATGCTATACCTACGCCGGCGAGGCCACGGGAAGCAGAATCAGGGCTTCCAGATACACGAAGCGTAAATCGAGTCGGTTCTTTATTTTGGCATGGTGAGGTCAAATGAATGACGCTACTTGGATCCTGTATGCGCGTTTCGAAGACGCAGCACACATCGATGGCGCGAGATTCTAAAGTTTTAGCTAAGGAAGCCTGCTGTCCTATTTGGCAAAGTGTTCGTACGTTAAAAGCTCCTACGTGTAGTTTAGAGCGTGGTTTCAGGAGACCAGTAATGGCGTTCCACGTACTCGAATCGTTTGCCCTAGCGGTGCGAGGTGATAAAGAGACGTGAGGAGGGTTAGTCGGGAGGATAAGAGAGGTATTAGGAGGTGTAGGAAGGATTTGAATGTGACCACCTTGGTCTCGTGTGCTGTTACGGGTATGAGGGCTGATGTCACTTCCCGGCTGCCCACACCGTGGAAGGGTATTTCTTGAGGAACCTAAAAAGGAAATTGGATTAGTGTTGGTCTTGACGACCTGGGAGCGTGACCGCAGAGCCCAAGGGACAACTGCTTGAGGCCGGTCGCGCACGGCCTTTTTGTGGAAGGTTTTTGACGTGTTAGCTCCGTTCTTCAAGGGGCCTTACCGCCGGAGACGGAAATCCGTGAGGTAAGGTGAGGTGTGCATTTTTAGGGTCGACCTTTTCTAACCCCACCCCTCCTTGTGGGAAGGCAGCATCGCTGTCATGCTGGTTGTCCGAGGGAAACACCTTACTGCTGTCACACCTCTCTACAGTCAGCAGTACGACTTCGCCCTCAGACCTTGAGTTGCTGCTTTTAGTCTTACCGTTCGCCAATCGACCTACCTGGCATGGTAGAACCTGCAGGAACATATGTTCCAGCCAATATAGCTCGGTTGGGTCATCACGATAGGCAAGCCCGACCACCGCGTCAAGGTAGCAGCTTCGATCGGGTGTGCATCGCGCAAATATCACAGATGACATAAGCTGTTACAAAGCAACAGACACCGATTAACTTGGGTTCATAAGACTTCTAAAATAAATGAAGTGATCAATGCTCTTAACCAATTCATTAAATCACTAGTCTAGGAGTTGATAGACTTAAAGCAATATTACTCATTGGAAGGGAAAGAAACGCATATCAAATATGTTCACCTTGTTGCTCAAGGCGACTAGAAGTCTAAGATGATAGTTTTAGTTATATGTTGTGGAATTAATGAAAATTAGAAAACTATTTGTGAACTTTTCCGTTTTAGTTTGCAAATACTCAGCAGTATATATATATATATATATATATATATATATATATATATATATATATATATATATATATATATATATATAATTTACCTCACAAACAATCATGAGTCCAACGTTGTTAGCTTGTGTTGGATAAACATAATTGGCTGATTTCGATGAACAATCAGCAAAATATACACCTTTTCCAAACATATAACCAGAAGATGGAGCTTCAGGCGGAGCAATTTGTAAACCTCTGCCTAAAATGCCAACCCAATTAGTTAAACGACTTCCATGCCAAAGAAGCATCCTATAATGATAATGAAAAACTATAGATAAATGTATGTATAGATTAAATATTGTACAACCAGATCACTTGATAAATTTAAACACACCAAGAATAACAAGGCTTGCAGAATAAAATGAATTCATCAGTCTATGGTTTGTTATCAGCTACATACAACCTGAAATTACGATTATTAATATAAACTTAATTTAAATTGATATCATGAATGGATGAATGTTAAACAACCATAGGACTCGGACCCAGGACCTTCAGTCTCGCGCGCGAACGTTAAACCTCTAGACCATTGAGCCGGTACCCAAAAGTGTTAATGTACAACTTCAACACCTGGAAGTACTGGACGGACGTTTAATCTTGGTATGGGACGCAATATTGTGGATTGGTTGAAGTCAGATATTAACACCGTTTGATACCAGTTCAGTGGTCTAAATTTAAGCGTTCGAGCGCAAAACAGAAGGTCCTGGGTTCAAATCCAATATGCAGAGTCGTGAACACGCACTGGTGCTTCCAGATTTTAAATGGTGGTCTAACATTCATCCATTCATGATATCAATGCAAACTCAACAATCTCCACAAGCCTATACTGGTAAATATAATTCTTGACAAATTTTTAGCATACCTTAGTATGTGCAGTTTACATGAATGTTCGAGACGTAACTAAAATCACAATAATCAGAAGAATAGGGATACAAAGTGTATGAATAAACATAGTTAAGATCTACGTGTCTGTATATGCTGGGAAGTAATCATTCACGGGTTATATAAAGGCAATGAGACTAATAATAAGTGATATATATATACGCAGTTCTTCTAATTATACACCTCCAAAACATATACAATAAACAGTCACATTTTGTCAAATATCTGTTAGGTCCCTACAAATAAAACAGTTCTCATGAGATATTTTCATGATGTGTTACAAAATAAAAAGGAATTGGTGTAACTCTTACTCCATAAAACTATACACACAATCCTGTCAAAAAAACTATATTATTCAACATTAAATCAGAGAAATGTTGGGTTTATTTTCAAATTACCTATTCCCGTAATCTTTGAATTCTCCTTGTTCTGCAGATTTTTGACATTCGAATATATCTAATATTTCCAATGTATACCAATTATGTGTAACTCCATGTGTTTCGTGCATGTAATCGGTTAACAACTTCGACAACAAAAATATTTAACATTTAGACAGACGATGAACAGTCAAAGTAATAGGAATGGCATGTACAAGGAATTAAATTAATAAATTTTTAATTTACACTTCACTGACTACCGACTTACCTACTGATTGAAGTTAAGAACTGGCTACACTATAGCTTACTTGAGCAAAAGTCTGAATAGTCAATTTAATGCTTAAAGCACTTGTCTGTCAGCTGCAACGAAACATAGTTAACCTACATCAGCTTGGGTAGCCGAGGTAATAAGTCGCGAAATTTTCTTAATTGATAAAATAAATGTTGGAATATTGTAACGTTGAAGTTGACAACAAGGATGTAAAATTTCACAGTATGGGTTGTGATTTGTCAAATAACTACTACTGACAAACAAGTTAAGTACTAAGCAACTGTCCGTTTCACTTTTTTAAAAGAATTCTCGGGATTGCGATGCACTGGTGTATTCTACCAAAATATTCAAGACAAATTCATCATAAGAACTATAGTCATGTGAGCAACTGTGCGAAATACATCAAAAACTAATATTTCCAGATTGCATTTCCCACAGACTGATCTCAGAGGGAGTATTATAGAAGATCAGGTAGCCAAAGGACGGTTGTTTCGCACCATTATGGGAATCCCCATAAACCGTCGACAAAGACCCGATAGAGAACACGCCCAAGACATTCAGGCCTAGCAGTGAACACCTAATCTCTTAAACTACTGGATCGGGACCCACTGTTACATATTTTCAACTCCTATCAATTTGTGATGTAGCGCAACGACCACACAATGTCATTGTTGTTAAGTATTTCACAATCCCGATAGGTTTGAACTCTGTTAGTCATGACTTTTTACCAGAACCTCGGGAACACCTTGAAGTGCGTCACTAGTGAACTGATTACTATAGTCTAGTCAACTATATCGATGTTTTTTTTACAAGATTGGTGGATACAGAGGGTCGAGTTAAGGGAGTTGAGAAAGTCTGGTTTCAAAACATGAGTTCGACGATCCTAAAGAAATGAATGGCTTGTGAAAGGATTCCTGATCGTTGTCTACCATAGGACAGGATTCAATGACGTTCTACTGCTCGGAGAGTAGTTCCCTAAGAAAACTGCACTTGTTCCAGCTTTGGAGCTGAAAATTTATCTTAGCCCATATACAAATATTTTTTAGTGTGGCGCATACTATTTATGGTGCTCAGTTGCACTATATTTCACTCGTACTAAATAAAAGAATCAAATATGCATACAAGTGACAACAGTGAAATTTGTGAAAAAGGTTATCACTAAACCATCAGTGTTTTCTACGACATTCCTATAACTCAACTGGTATCTGTTGACTAAGGTAGTCGTCTTGTGAAGATTTAGCATAAAATCGTCCTACACAAGACCCAGTCCATTTTACGTCAGTTTTTGATGGAAATAACCTTTGATTTGTATAAACTATCGGTCACTATTATGTCTGAGCGATTAATCAATACTAGTTGTGGAACGAGATATCGAAAGAGTACGTCAGACTACTTTTCAGTTTCCGATATCTTTTACACTAAAATCAACCAAAGAAGTGAGGTGAATTTATTTATTCATTCATTGAAACAATTGAGAAAGCAAAATAGATACATAAAACAGTTCGGTATACATGTATGTGTAATTCTTACCGAATACATTGGATCAGTTGATCGCAGAGGTTTAATGTCACAATTCAGTCGTTTATAATTTACATCAATAATATTTTCAGTAGATGATTGATTATTCTTCAAAATATTTACAGCAAATTCAATATCGGATAAGGCTTCTAGTAGTTCAATTTTTGATTTGACTTCAGGCATTGTACGAATAACCGGTGGTATACGCATACTATAAGAAAAGTAAAAAACGAAAAAAAAATCATAAAGACAGTCGACATACATTTCTTATTAAAATAACCGTATTAGAAAAGTATTAAAATGTCATAATTATGAAAACAGAAGTCAAGTTGAACTAAATTTATTAGCTTGATTACAGCGCATATCTGACATAAGTGATCGGTTGCTCTACCTTACAACAAAACACCATAACAGAAAAATTAGGGGATATTGATAAGTTGAAAAGTAGAGAATAGGATACCAAAATCAATTATTAAGGAAAGCTAAACATAAAAATTGCATATTTTAAAATGAACAAATATTACTGAAAAATACGGTTAATGGCTTGGTGAGGTTTATTTACAGGCCTCCTCAGCCCAATAACTTACGCAACGTATCAAGTTTGTACTGCAGCTACGGCGCTGTTTCGGTAAACAATATCATATTATCTGTGTATATGAGGGGATCCACTAGCCCTTTGCGCATTTTGATATTTTATTTGCGCATATGACGAATAATAAAAAAGATAGGTGTTCCCCATGTTTAATACGTCGGTTTTTAATACATATCCGGTACTTTCCACAGCTAACCTATGATTATTAGCAGGGCTTCAAAGTCACAACAATGTTTTTATATGGATGAGTCGAGGATGGATTGCAGATCTGTTTTCCAAATCTCGTAGAATCTTCGCGAATCGGTATATTTTGGTTGCTCACAACAATAAGGGTTTTCAATATTACTAGTCTCCCGCACCTTGTCAAATCCTTTATAGGACCAAACAAGGGTAATAATACATTCGTTTTCCACAACAGTACTACTCTCCGTAGTATTTAACACTTTCACCTTATGTAAATAACGCATCGTACAGTGGATACATGTTATTGTAGATGTAAACAATAAAAAATTGCGATACCCTTTCGTAGGGTAAAAAAATGCGAATTTATCCACTAGAGTAACACGAATAAACAGATATATCATTGCTGTATGAGAAAAACAGTTAGAGAGAGTTAATTACGAGATAGTAAGCCTAAAATGAGATCTTTTGGTCATACAGCATATCACTTTAGTTTGTATTTTTGCTGATTGCAATGGTCATAAACAGTCTCTTACCCAAAATCGTGAGGTATCCGTGTATAGAAATCATTACAGGCCAACAGTAATTGTTCTTCAAGTTTACGTTTATCACCCACATTTGTTTTGACGATACGTTTTACTCTGCCCCTTGGCTTAGTTTCTGTTTCAGTATTACACGCTTGACTTAAAGCTGACAAGGCACCAATCATTTGGGATATGTTATCCAATGCTTTATAACCTGCACAAATTTGTGATTTACTAAGCTTTCCTAAAGGAGCTCGGCGTGAATCATATTTTAGTTCAGTCATAACTTGTTCCATGTTACTAAAGTCACATATTAATTTCATAAGTACCTAAAAAAGAATTACACAGTGAACACAGTAAATTGATGGGAAAGTTAATAAGACAAGCAACGCATATGATAAAGATGAATTTTCTCAGAAATTTTGCTCATAAACGCTTTAGAAAATATACAAGAACCAAATATACTGATATGATGTTTACCACTGGTCGACTTTTAGAAGACACTACAATCTTGGATATATTACTAACCAAAATACTTTCAGCATACTTTCCACATAAACGGTGTACAGTGGACCACACATTTGTAGCCTTTTCGAGAAACCTCTCAACTGGGACGTCTCTACAAATGAGGAGGATATCAAACGACTAAAACTAAAATTGATTCGACCAGCATATGAATTACTCAAGGAAATTATCAAATCCTGAGGTGGTAATATGGGATCCAAGAGAGGGTAGGTTATATGTCCCTAATTTGGTCAACGGTCATCGTCAAGAAAACCGCCTGCTACGGATTTATGAATTGACGCAGCACACAGACTTTACATGAATTATTACAAAATATGAATAACCCTATAGAACCCAGTACTCAAAATGGTGGTCCTTTCTACGAAAAGGTTTATTTCTAGTATCTAATATTTCTGTATGGATTATAGTTCCCTTTTGCTTAATTATAATCTTTATCTGGTTAAGCAGCTCATTTTTAACTGGAAGTCCTATCCTGTTTAGAGTCTTAAGTCGCAAAACAGCCACTTTTCGAAAACTTTCACGAGGAATAAAACATACTTTTAACTGAGTTCTGGAAGTTAAAAATGTTGACAGATAGATAAAAAGCGAAGGGTGACTCGTTTTAAAATCAGAATATTGGAACGATGTGTGGAAAGCTTGGTTGATCTGACCTCTAGCTACTTATTCAAACCATTGCTCACTTATACATTACCAAATAAAAATGATATATCAGTTTAAAGTTGAGAATTTGGATCGACTGAGATTAGGAAATATGTAATATGTGCCCAGCCACCGCCAACCAAGAAACCCTATGCTTGGTAGCATAGGTGTAGATTGACGAAAATTTAGCAGCAATTAGACCAAGAAATATCCGACTAATTTTCGGGGGTGTTGGGAGAAATTACAACTTTTAGATACGGTCTGTCGGATAGGTATAACCCATGAAATGTTTCAAAATAGTTAGCAGTAATGCAGATACCCAGTCCAACTTAAAATATAAAAAACGTTATTCAATACTTTATTTACCTCTTTCAACTGCCTTTTTTCGGATTTCTAGTTTGCCACAACTATCTGCACCACTATTGACGACTAACAGCCATGATTTTTAGCTACTTTATTAGTTCTATCCTTATATGAAGGTAAATTAGACCCACAAACATGTGTTAAGTTCTTCTGTCTGTTTGATCGCGTATCTATTAAACTTGTATTTTTATAATATTTGTTAAATCTTATCACTATAAAGTTTTATCAATAACTCTGCATGACGGTCTTTTTATTTTGTGTGACCCATTATCTGGAGTTTTTATTTAATGATATATGAGTCCGACACTTTTTGAAATAAGCTTGGTAAATACTAGGTTTTTTCAGAGAACCAATTAGTTGTGGCATAATTACCACTCATACATCTACTACAAGTGGTGCGACAAAACTCCATCAAAAGGTGCGACTTTTAACAAACTGACCCTTACTAAACCACTAAGATGTCTTAATTCATCGGTTCGAGAAAATGACTATAACAGTCAATTTAATGCTAAGTGAAGTGCTAATCCAAGTATTCAAAACGTAGAGCTTTAACTTACCCTTTCGGTCAGTGTTACGAGTTCACATCCTACACTAATAGACTAAAATTGAAATCTCCAATAGCACCTTTAGCTCTCAGGAAGAAGTTTGAACTAAGTTTTCTTTTCATGGTACTGAGTACGTTTATGAGTCATAGTTCATATTTTTCATTGTGAGGAAGTAATAGATTTACAGAAAGTGTAACTACTATAGAATAACTTCTAACAAAACATTTACCTGCACGGCAACAGGAAGTCGTGATTTAACTTCTTTAACCTTCTTTTTCTTTGCAGTTGCGTTTTCATCCTTAGAAGTGAATACAAAAATATACTAAAGACCAACTTGTACACCATAATCAATTTCGACCATATCATACTTTCCATTGTGTTTTATGAAATTCCTTCTTTCTCTCCACTGATTTAGTGTTTTGTCTAGAAACCTATTTTTTAAAATACGTTTACAACTGCAAAATCTTTGTCATTATACTTTTTTTCAAAACAACTCTTAGCAGCTTGTAAATTACCACCAAAATTTTCAAGTTTATTTTGGCCAGATTTCCCAACTCGACCCCAACGAAACCAAACTGAGTAATTGTTTATACTTTCATCTTTTAAAAGCTGTATAATGTAGTATTTATTGTTATTATTTTGAACATTAGTCTAAAATAGTCCACTTTATGGTTAAAAAATTACTTTTTATTACCTGATTTAGCATGGCATCGTAAATATCATCGCCTTCATAATAAACATAAGCTGAATTGACTTTAGCAACACATTCAACGTCGACTGGTGCTTTACCTTTGCAGACTACACGCCTAACTGTACAGTTAATTTATTAGCAACACTAGTAAACAACCTTTTTTAAAGCTTTCTGAGTCGTCTTCCTCATTATCAGAGGGCTGCTGAACTTTAAGGGGATGTTTCATTGGTCTACAATGGAACAAGATGGGATTTACACTGCCACATATTTACAAGTAATCAAAACGTTTTCAACGTAATGACTTATTGGTAACTATACTTTATAAAAACCATTAGAAGTGGAAATCAGCCTGTTAAAAAGATAGTAGGACCAGTTTCATTATCTTTGGTTTCAGTATTAATAAGGTATACAGGATCTAGCCGCAAAAAGAACTGTATATAATAAGAAAGGTTGAATCTCATAAACTCAGTCCAAATAGCTAGAAGAATGGAGAACAGAAACGTAGGAAGTAGTCAAACAAATATCGATCTGTTGTGAACGAGCCTGGAAATACATCATAAGCCCGATCTCCCTATTTTGACGAAAATTTTGTCAATTTTGGGGAAATGGCACAAAAACGCCAAAATGCCCCCAGGTCTTGGAAAATTTCTTAAGTTTTTTGGGTTTTCCCAATATTTTTCCAGGATCTTGTAACACTGAGGAAATCTTATTTATTTACTTATTCATATTAACACAGATATTGGTACGAGGAGGCACCAAATATATATGCGCCACACATCTCATTTGATATGTGTGAGGGCTGTGATACTGCCCGAGTGCCCAAACCGAAGGTGGTGTTCTTAGGAGGCCACACCCGGAGCCTTCAACCTGAATGTCTGATCCACAAAGAAGTGGAGTAACGTCAGGAGATGCAGTCCCATGGTAGCCGGTGACCGACGATCGGTTCACACGCCATCTGTTAATCGAAGCAAGTATTTTCCATAATCATCGACAGTTCATCATATTTGTCCGGGCACAGAGACGATAATGCGATTGATGTCACCATCTTGAAACATCGACTTCGGTGGCTTGGACATGTTCTCCGAATGTCGTCCCAGAGAACTCCACGTCGTGCATTATTTGCCGACGCCAGGACAGGCTGGAAAAAGCCGAAAGGTGGTCGTTGTATGAAAGAAAGCTGCGAAGGACTGGCTTCTGTCGGTCCTTCACGATTCCCTGGTTGGGGTCCGAGAGATGGTGCTACACAGTGGCTAGAGACGTTATCAGATATGGCTCAGAATAGAAGCCAGTGGCGATCCTGCTATAACCTTTTACTTTCTTCATAAAAGTGGTTGTATCTTACGCCACGAGAAGACAGTGAGTAGGACTTCCCTGGCAGAGGCTATATACGCGTGGCCATATGGGAGCGTTTCGAGATGGAGAGCGGACTCTCCCCACTTTCGTCCATACCATTCTAGAAATTCAGGACATCCTATTTTTTTCTTCCACAAACATCCGCAGTCAAAACGCAGCACTATTTTGTATCAGGAACCTAGATGAACACTTATACAGGTAGATCAGAAAACAACGTTGGCAGTAGAGTGCAATACGAGTAATATACAAAGTACAAGATAGATGTTCTCTACGACACTAGGGAGTACTCATTTAAAATACCAAACTACATAAAGAGACAAGGAGATAGTACCACAAGTATCACATTTTTAACGTATTAAGTTCTGATCAAAACAGATATCGATATCTGTTCAAGCAAATTTGCTTGTTTGATTTTAAATGCACTTGAAATTAAGTACATGTGCCTTATTGATAGTAAATCCATTGTTCTTTCTTTTGTAGATCTTTTCGAATTACAGTAAGACTTGGCAATTACAATTAAAATACATAACGATTGATGCTCTAGCATCTGCCAACTACTCATCATGTTATACAACAATACGCTTTTCTTTTCAACAAATCTCCTTAAACGTTTAAAGAAACGTACATTTCTTTGAACTATCTATCACGTGGATTGCAGTTTTCGTGTGGCGTGTCATTGGAATAAGTGCGAACACAGGAGACGTTTGGGGTTATGCCGAAGGTGTTTCCAAAGTGCGAGCAAAACTAGAGAAACCGGTGCGTATTTGGGCGAAAATCAGGCAATCCGGCGTATATTTATGCAAAAAGTAGACGATTCGGCGTGTATTTAGGCGAAAAATAGACAATTCATCAACATTTGAAAGACAGCGACAAAAGGGGAAAACCCACATTATTTCCCCCGGATAGGAAGAAAAGCAGACATTTTGGCGCGTTCCCCCATTATTTCCCCTCTATTTTCCAACGCATTTTCCCCTTTTTTGCCTTTATTTTCCTATATTGGTTGTTAGGGTCGATCAATTGAATGAAATGTCTTAAAATAATTGAGTCAATAAACTTTGCATGTAGAGATGTGATAAGATGTTATGTAATTTGCCTCATCTACGTTTAATATAATTTATTTAACCACTAAATTGACGTAAAATACCGGATGCCTAACGAACTCACGGATAATCACAAAAACACTTAACATTTAAAAACGCGGCGGCAATTGAGCTTTGTACACTATATTCACTCACCAATCTTCTAGTTCTCAAGACATTATAGTCATGCCCCTAGTTCATTTTGTTTCTCCATAGCAGATCCATCTAATGAAAGAACTCAGTACAAAAACTTGCACAAACCGATTATGGCACTGTCAAAGCAGACGTTGCGACCGAAGTGACGAGACTAACGAGGTAAACGAATGGTTTCAGTTTCAGTTTGGGAAAGACAGGAGGCTTGATGGCCTATGTTAGTCCTGGCAATGGTGGTCTCTCAGTTGATCCAACTTTATTTTGAAAGAGTCGACGGATGGAGCCTCAACCACGTGCTGAGGTAGTGAATTCCACTCATGAATGATTCGATGGGAAAGTCGATAGTCAGCTGACAAGTAATTTGTTCTTGGCTTATGAACTTTTTTGGAGTGTCCTCGTAAATTCTCTGTTTTGGAAGACAAGGAAAATGAGGGCATATTAGGTGCAAATTTATCACTAAGCAATTTGTAGACTGTAATCAAGTCGCCTCTAGTTCTGCGATATGACAACGGGAAAAGGTTCAGCTTGGCCAGTCGAGATTCATACGGAAGCTTCGCTATTCCGGGAACCAGCTTAGTCGCCTTTCTCTGAACCTTGTCCAGAAGCTCACTGTCTTTTTTAAGCAGGGGCTAGCCGCTTGTATGCAGTACTCAAGTTTAGGACGAACGAACACTGTATACAAAGTCAAAAACGTTTTAGCGTCGACATGACTAAAAGCTCTACGTATTGACCATAAGGTTCTAAAAACTTTGGCGGCTATTGCACGGCAGTGTGCAGTAGTCTTTAAGTCTTGACTAACGATAACTCCTAAGTCATTATATGTCTGGACGACAGGTAGCTCAGTGTTATTCATCGTGTATGTATCTGTGCCTTGATGATCGATATGCATCACAACATACTTGGAAGCATTTATCGGCAACTGCCATGTTTGAGACCATTCAGATAACTTCTTCAGGTCATTTTGAGGTTCTAAGCTATCACTCTTACATCGTATCGTTTTCCATATCTTGACATCGTCAGCATATAGCAAGACCGATGATGATAGGAAACGAGGAAGGTCATTTACATACAAGAGGAATAGCACTGGCCCGAAAACTGTACCTTGGGGCACTCCACTAAGCACAGTTTCCCAGCTAGATAACTTTGAGTTCACCCCTACTCTTTGTTGACGCCCAACCAAGAAGTCTTTTATAAACATCAATAAATTGCCTCCCCTAGGATTAGACAACTGCTTAACAGGATCTCATTTGCCTCACAGCTTGGACTGCGATAGACCAAACCAATCAGCAGCTCTTGTCCCTTGCATTTTAAGCGAAGACTAACTAATTCACACGTCCCACTCTCATGGGATACACTATCGATAATGGTAAATGGGATAGCATTCCTAATGAATAGAGCTACTCCCCCTCCTTTGCGCTTTTGTGTTCTGTCGGCCCTTACTAACGTAAAGCCCTCGAAATCAAGTTCTATACTATCTATAGCCTGTGTCAGCCAGGTTTCTGTTACTGCGATTATATCTGGCTTTGTAGAGTCAATCTGTACACCTAGTTCCGATCGCTTATTAAGTAAGCTTCGTGCATTGGTGTAACAGATCCGAAGCCTGTTTAAGTGGCCTCGTGCTTCACCCAGAGTGGCTTCGGCATCATTCTCTGTCGAAGTCTTACAACCCGAAAATTTACAATTTTCAGGTCCTTTTCGCCAGCGTCTAACCTAAGTTGTAGTTCTTTCTCGGCTTCCCGTCCTTTAACACGGTCTGCCAACGGTAGGTCCTTTCGGATAAAGACTCCTGAACCCTTTAATTTGTGTCCATTTTGTAAAATTAGGTCACGTTCGTTCGAAGAGCCGAATAGTACTTTAAGCAGTCTGGAATGATTTGGTTTCGAGTCCGTTAGACTCCCTAGTCTGTACACCTTTAGCAAGGTGACCCCGGTCATATTTTGAGGCATGAGTTGATTAAGCAGCTGCCTAATCAGTACAATGTCATGCTCAAAACGAGCTTTAGGTTCAGAGCTATCGCTCTCCTTGATTCTATGAAAAATAGCTGATCTGTCGCTATGATCAGCTTTCGATTTTTCAACTACATCTACGGGGGCAGGGTTCCCTTTTATATCCCCACTTTTCTTCCTTACAACCTGTACCCATTCGTCAACGGTGCTGGTAGAAGCAATAACAGTTGCGTCTAACCTAGCGTTGGATTTTGGGGGGTTGTCGAAGACCTAAGAGGTCAGGTTATGTTTACCGCTTGAAACCGATTGAGCCTTGCGATTGCGGCTTCTAGGCGTTTCCTGTTGGACCCCATCTGGGAGACGGGGAACCGAAGACCCTACTTTTCTTGAGCTTTTGTTTAAGACAGGCCACTTTGGAGACCTCTTTTCCTTCTTTGACGGGCGTGAGTCATCTGTTATCGGACTAACCTTAGTTTGCTTCATGTCGATTTGCGTGTCGACAGATCGAGTGCTGTTTGACGCTTCCCGACTATGCTTACTAAAACACTTCTTTGTAGCATCAACCAGTGAGATGGCCTCGGTTAACAAGCTGTTTGCATCCGAGCAGCACTGCTGACAAAGCCATACACAACCCTTCTTACTGAACCGTATGAAAGCAGCAGGCGTTAAGTTTGTGCATACTTCGTGGTACCAGCCTTTGCACTCGTCGCATTACATGCCGCTTTCAACAGGATAACGACAACCCGGACGTTGCCAACTGCTTTTTTACACTGTCCGGTCATTTAGAAGGGGTTCTTTTTCAAGATGCGATGATACTCAGAAATAAAAAAATAATCAATGACCAAAAAAGTGAAGAGCTGTAGATCGCTAGGACCAAAAGTACTAACAGATACAGTTGAAAAAGAGGTACTCAAGAGTACCAACGACAAAACTAATTGAGAGAACAGTAAAAACGATACTCTAGTCGAATACTGAAATAAATTCAATTAAAGTGAAAACAGTAGTCTTGATACGTAATAAACGATCGAAACAAAGAAATTTAATCGGCGAGGAAAAATACCACTGTCCTTTTTTTTCCTTCAACTTTTTCCAATGACCTCTGCCTCACACCTTCTCATACTGGTCCAGGTTTAAAGAAATTTGGACTTTTGGAAGTCAAGGAGACTCCAAGGCTCTCGGGTCTACAGAAATCTGTTGGTTCATATAGTAACTAACCTTTTTAGCTATCTCTTCAATACGTTAGTTTTCTCTGATATCCGTGACACAAGCGCCTTAAGTGCCTGAGATACCTCATTGGACACAATTGTTCAATGCATATCAGCTAGATAGACACCTCCATGTGTAGATCACTGTACCCTGCCCCAGAATCCAAATCCAATCAGTATAGATGGGTTCAGATGACGTGATCCTAAATAATAATCAAACAACAGATTGCGAGTCATTGGATTTCGGACGACTCTGAGGTATCGGTTTTCGCTAACAAACGAAGTGAAACAATGCTCGATCCTCGGACTATTTCTCTACATAAGGAACAATAATGATTCCCTCAAACTCTCCTTTAAGTGTATGACCTTCAGGAATCAGCTGGTCCAGCTGACCCTTTCACGTCTCGACCACTCAAGATGACTAGATCTTACTGCCGAAATGTTTCTTTTGCTCGAAACTTCTAAATGAAGAACATTAGTGGTGAATATCATAGACATTCCATACTTTACACGATTCTTAAGAGATTCAAGTTTCACATTTCTCACCACCGAAAAAAACTCCATGCGTCAGTATCCAATAGAGCATGCTCCTTCTTGTGGTTTGTTTCTAGAAAATTTCGTAGCCTAACTTCAGAAATTTTCAAGACCGTCTGAAGTGTCTATCTAAAACTTTATCTGGAAAACATCCAGCGCAACGTCCCCTTACCTGAAAAACGATGCCGCTCTATTAGATTGTGTTTATATAAAAGCATCGAATAAGGAGCTTTGACTAAACAATAAGTTCAACTGAGCTCGAAAGCTATTAGCCCGAAGTCAGAACAGTGCAGGAGGATCAAAAGCATATGGTCATATTATATCACACTGCTTTGATTCTCTCTATTCGAATAGACCCCAAATACCTTTCAGTAATAAATCAAGCTTAGAAGAACACCCACTCATCCATAAGTGAAACAAAACGTTTTGCTAGATTTAGAGATTCAACTACTTCATTGTCTGTCTGATTGATAGAATCACAGTGACACCCTCACAAGTCCAATAGTTCAAAAGATGGCAAAAGCAAACAACTTCATAATGGTGGTTTAATAAACATTTAAAATGATGTAGATGATACCCAAAAGAGCCATGATTAAAAATAACGTAAGTACAAAAAATGGACAAACACAACAGAAGAGGCATTACTGTCAGTCAAGTAACAATATTCTACCCGAGGAAGTGTCTGTCAGTTCAGCTCGCCTCAAAAATGAACTTTCTCGGTTGTAATATAGACGTCCTTATGAATGATGAAATACTACCATACCTGAGATAGTAAATAGTCAATGACACAAGAATCTGTTTGTCGAAATATCACAACAAGTTCATTCGCTGATACAACAATATTATCATGATGCCGATTGCAACTTACCAAACAACAACAATAATAAGACTTAGTATCTCTCATGCTTTCACCGCGAATTCTCTCTGAATCTGTGTTCTAACCATTCACGAGGTCCTAATGTGGTGACACCGGCACCGCTAAACGGAATGTTGGCACGATCAAACATGATCAATAGTCCTACACATTATCTTTCTCGGTATGAACAATCAACTAAAAAATCAGCTTTGTAGAAAAATACTGTTAATTAAAGGTGAATAGTAGTGAATGTCTCTGAAACAAACAGGGAGCGTATTTCTAAATCAACCACACGAAATAAATGCAAGCAGTTCACAAAGTATTATTCAAAGTATAGCAATCAAATAAAATGTGTTAAGTAATACAAAGATAAAACTGTTATTAAGACAGTCAATAAAATCAAGGAAATGTTTGGGACTCAGAATTTGTGCATAAAATA